TTTTTTCCTTCATACTTAATGATCATATGAGAAGTCGCAACTATAATTATTAACAGAATACAAAAACAAACCAGTCCATTCCCAGAAACATAGTGCACTCCTCCAGAGGATGGCTGCCTTGTGACATCCATCTCAGTAGTGCTTTGCCTTTGCCTGAGTCAGGAGAGGGGCGCAGCACAAATTATTCTCACTATAATTCATGCCTTATTTTTATATCATTTTTAAATAAAAATTTTACATCTTATTTAAAGTTAATGTCTTATTTTTATGTTCTAGAAAATGCCAATTGCAGATCCTAGTCTTCGTCTTTCATCTTGGTCTTGACTCACATGTGTTCTGTTTGTGTGATAACTGGGTTTTTACCTACCCTAGGTGTCTGACTGTGTTTTGACTGACAGTTGTCACAACATGAGGATGTGTTGATTTCCCTTCCTTATCCATTGACAACTAGAGGGCTTCATCGTTGATGTTGCAGAAGCAAACTTTCCTTGTAATTTGGTATAATTTTTCAAGTTCAATTTTCACTGCTTCTGTAAAAGTAGAAATGAAGTACTTTGCCCTTATTAATAGAGGAGATGACTGAGTGGCAAAGTGTAATATTAAACTTTCCAATTGTTCACATTTACACATGTACTTCTTTGTTCATTTCTTTCACCACATTGATTCCACGGTGGCGAGTAGATTTTTTATTGTGGTTACGTAATTGTTTACATTTTTAAATGGATACTATTTTTTAATCTTAACTTTTGACCATTCACAAATAACCATCCTGATTTTACTCAAAAAGAAATAAAAATTAACATCTCATTTAGTAATCTCTCAGTAACATTTAGTCTCTCTGCCATTTTAACTCTGGACCTGTCACATAATGCATATAGCCGCTTGTGAAAACAGTGAGGAATTTATTTCTGTATAGTTATATTCTTCATTGATATCTTGGGAGGAAATAGGTATAAAAATTTTATTCTGCCAATCTCCATTACATTTTCTTTTCCCAAAAATTGTTCTTGACTTGGATTTGTAAATTATATTCCTGGGTTTACATTTAAAGGAGAAATGAATATGGTTGTCTCCATATTTCCCCATTGTCTCAGATCAGTCTACCTTACTCTGGTGCACAGAGTTAGCTGGGATCAGTGGGTTTGTATAGACCTAGATCAGAGGGGGAAATGACAGTAACTTAGCTCTCCCACTGAAGTTGATGCAAAGTTATTTTTCAGCTCTCTTTAGAGCAAGAGAATCAGGATCTCAATCAAATGACTTCACTTTTCTTCATTCAGGCTCTATTCAGAGTCCGATTGTTTTAATAGACAAGTGCCGGGTTTCTGTTCTCGCGACTAAAAGGCTCAGGGGTCACTCTAGTTAAACTGGGCTAACTGGGCTGCACGAAATAACCACACAAGAGACACAAATACCTTTTTCTTTGGGGTTGCTGTGACGGCTCCTCTGACCTTAAGGGTCCACAGGAAGAGAGAGTGTGAGAGGACACACTGACCCCTTTTATTGAGGAGAAGCTATTCAAATGAGGCAAAGGGGTCAGGTTTCAGGGGCTGAGTCTATCTTCATGATGTCCACTGTCAGCAGGTTGACTGACACCTGGGTAGGCCACACCCAAGGGCACAGTAAGAGGAGGGGACACACACAAGGCACTTCCATGGAAGATTCTATCCTAAACAGGGCTTGGGGTTATATTACAAAGGAACATGTGAGCATAGCTTCACCCATGGGGCTGTAGCAAGACACACCCATTTCTGTGACTGAGCGCCTCAGCACCCAGCTGGGGAGTGTAACTCAGTCACCCATAAGGTTGGCCTCCCACAGACAAGGCTCATTTCCTTTCAATATTAATGCCTCTCCACGGAAACAGGGTCTTCTCTGACATGGGTAATTTATTCTGTATAGTGTGGCTTGGACAATTGCCAACAATTAAAACTCAGATTTTCTCCAGAAAGTTATTACCACTTGGAAAGACCCAAGTAAATTTCTCTAATAGTTTTCATAAAAAGATAAAAAGTGATGTTTTTGAAAAGTCTGTGATCATCAATGAATGATTTTGTATTAATGTTGATATGATGATTGAATGATATTGAAGCCAAGTCATTTTCCTGGAGTTGTGGAAAGGTAGCCCCAGTGGTCTGGAGCTGGGCTATGAACATGGGCCAAGGCTGTAGTAGTGTCTGCCACACCAGTGTGGACCCAAGGCACTGCAAGCCAGGGCACAGGAGAGCCAGGGGACATGGATCTATCATGCTATGGAGGTCTGACTGGCCTGATGTGGATGCCTGCTCCACACAGGCTGCAGCCAGAATCCCTGAGCATCCACTATCCAATGACCTCAACTTCCTGTTTCCTGGCCAACAGTGAGGAAAAGGAGTGGGGGGCAGGTCTGAATGGAAATTCAGACTCAAGAGTTAATCAACAGCATTAGTGCTTTTCCAAACCCTGATTAGCATACATTTGGACCAATAGCATTGACCCAAATGCTGTATAAATCTCTAGACTAGCACACACTGCTGGTAACCCCTACCTGTGTCCTCTCTTGCCCTTATAAGAGTTCTATTTTTTAATAAAATAAGTCCTACTCCTTTCACTCTTACCTTCCACGTTCAACGAATCTCATTCTTTGGATTTGCAAGACAAGAACATGGAGAGAAGTTGGGAGGGAGTTGCTAGAGTCTATTGCAACACTGGAGGGCATATCCCCCATTTAGAGCTCCAATACCGAGAGCTATAACACACCACTCAGTGGTTGTAGAGAAGAAATAAGATTTGCCAACTCCACCAGCATCCCTTGATGTAATTAGCTACTTAAACTAAAATGGGCTTTCTTAGCTGCAGAGGCCTGCAGCTTGCACAGGCCCCAACCGGCCAGCAGAAGTGGAGAATCAAATTTTGTCTTGAACTCTAGTTTCAAAATTAGCTTTGTGTGAGTTAGCTAGAGTGCATGTCATTCCTGTCTGTCCTATGTACTTGAAATATATAGGACACAGGAATAGAATCTACTTTGGTTTTATAATTTCTGGAATAAGGAATGGTGATAGCAAAAGTTGGTGAACATTTAAGACATGCACTATTAAAAAGGTGATAGGGCTGGGGTTGTGGCTCAGTGGCAGAGCATTTCCTCACACATGTGGGGCACTGGGTTTGATTCTCAGCACCGCATTAAAAAAAAAACAAAGCAAAACAAAATAAAGATATTATGTCCATGTATGACTAAAAATATTAAAAAGATGATAAAACACACAAATATATTTTTCTGGAGTGAGAAATTTATCCACTTAAAAATCAATTATATTCAACATTGCAAAACAAATACTATGTAAATATTGTCCAATAGAACTCCTAGTTATTAAGTGTCTGATTATGACTTTAATCCAATTTAGCTTACTGGATTGATAAGTGATATGAAAAGCATACCCCTCCCTGCCCTCACCCCACCTCAAATCCCCCAAAACAATGCAATTAAAACTGGGAGAAATGGGGTAGGAAAAGGTGAGTACCACAAGGGCCATTCCAGAGACATGTATAAAACACATATTTGCAAAAGAATCTTACATGTTTAGAAAACAGTTTGTTATTGATTATTCTTAAAACTGACTGAATGTGTAGCTAATGAGGCTCAGCATGAAGATAGAATTCCAAATGTGGATACTTCATAGCCTAAGCTAAGGGCTTTGAACTTTTTAATATAGTGAAATATTTCCAAAAAATTTTTTAAAGAGAGAGAGAGAGAGAGAGAGAGAGAGAGAATTTTAAAAAAATATTTATTTATTTATTTTTTTAGTTTTCGGGGGACACACACCTTTGTTTGTATGTGGTGCTCAGGATTGAACCCGGGCCGCACACATGCCAGGTGAGCGCGCTACTGCTTGAGCTACATCCCCAGCCCCAAATTTTGAATTATAGAAGTATATGGAAAGTTTTTGAAAAATAACTGTACATATGGTTTATGATTGTAGATTTTTTTTCATAATTTCATGTACATTATTTTATTTTTAAATAATATTTAAGTTAAAAAAGAATAGAGAAAGTCAGACTCAGAAAGTCAAAGTCAAATGTTTTCTCTCATATGGGGAAGCTAGAGGGAAATAAGGAAATTTATAAAGGGGGTATCCAAAGAAAATAGAAGTGAGTTCAGTGGAGTAGAGGAAGAGAACTGAGGGGGAAGGAAGAGGGACAGGGAAAAGAAGAAATGCAGGATGAAATTGACCAAATTATTTTATGTACATATACAAACATACCACAGTGAATTGAGTATCTATGAAGCACCAATTAAAAATCAATAAATAAATAGAATGGAGACCAGTAGAGTAGTGACCAGGAATAAGGGAAAGGGAGGAGAGGAGGGAAAGTGGAAGTACTGGAGATCATAATGGAGCAAATTATATTATATGAATATATATATTAAAATGAACCTCATTATCATGTATAATAAAACACTAATAAAAACATAAAAAACTCATAAAGGAAAAGGGAGAAATCACAAAAAATAGTAAAGACAATCTTGATTTAATATTACACAGAAGGCAGATATGGAAACATTCATTCTGCTTGCATGTGTATAACTAAATTTTGGAAATGGCTGTAGAGAATAATGAGCCTGTAGCATAGAGAATTGCAATGCTTGGTCTACTTACTCTTTTCTGATTCCAATAAATATGTGAAGATGGTCTGGGGTGAAAAAAATTCATTGTATGTACAGCCACTTAGAAAATTTTTGCAATTTTTTTGGGAAAAACTTTGTTCAGGACTGCATTTCAGTTTCATGATATTCATGAGAAGAATGAACATCTGTCCATCTAAAGGAAGCAACTATGGGACAGAATTGTGGGAGATCTCATGTTAGATCCATTCAGTTCAAACACTGAATTTTCAGAGGTTGCTGAGAGTAAATGTACTCATGTTAAGAGAACAAAACTTGTCTTTGAGGCTCAGAGTATTTATTATGTATAAGGGATACATGTAAAACATTGCTGAAATGAAGACAGAATTCTCTTTTATTAAGGAGAAATAATATAAAGAGTTCTCTGCAGACTTGGTTGCTCTAAAAAATAGCACTACGTGGTGTTAGGCTCAACATCATCATATCCAGGGTCATCTTGTCTCAGGACTAATGAGGATGCTGTCTCTTCTGTGTTAGAATTATCAGCTTCTCTGAGAGACTGAGGAGAGGTGCCTGAAACAGAGAATCCTGGTTTTAGTGGTGACAAAATGACAATACAGAGACCTCTTGTAGGATGAAAGACTAGTAGAATGGCTACAAAATATCTGTGGGGAACCCGAACTTTTCTGGAAGGATTAATAGAGCTATATCACAGGAACTCTGCTCTGTCCAAATGCCTTGATTTCAATGAGAAGGAGGATGGTAGAAGCAACTATGGGACAGAATTGTGGGAGATCCCATGTGAGATTCATTCAGTTCAAACACTGAATTTTCAGAGGTTGCTGAGAGTAAATATACTCACATGAGCACCCTCTCTTCCATACTAGGCTGATTCCTTAAGCACTCCAAGCAGAAGATGACCTCCCTTGATTCCTCAGTACCTCAATAACAGACCACACTTGACCTCACAGTATTCATGACAACAATTTGGGTCCTTTGGCAGATGCTGAAGTGGGGAAGCTCAATTAAATTCAATAGTTTCCTGTTTCCCATGGACCACATGCCCATGTGCAAGTAGGAAGCCCAATCCCAAGAAATAACACCATATGTTATTTGAAACAATAAGACAAAAATCATTCCTTCTAGCATGAAAATTTCAATATTCTCTAGTTAAGGCTATTGCACATTATGCATTAATAGTGGGACATGTCAACTAGAAAGCACATTTAGCTATGTGCTTTCCTCAAAATAGGTGAAAGGTTGTTCAGTACACAAAAATCAATAAATATAAATCATCACATAAATAAACTTAAGTACAAAAAATCACATGACCATCTCAATAGACAGAAAAAGTCATTGACAAAAATCAGCACTCACTCATGTTAAAAACATGGAAGAGGCAGAGCGTAGTGGCACGTGCCTGTAATCCCAGTGGCTTGGGAGGCTGAGACAGGAGGATTACGAATTCAAAGCCAGCCTCAGCAACGGAGAGGTGCTAAGCAACTCAGTGATACCCTGTCTCTAAATAAAATACAAAATAGGGCTGGGGATGTGGTTCAGTGATTGAGTGCCCCTGAGTTCAAGTTCAATCCCTGTTATCCCCCCCAAAACATGGAAGACATTAGGAATAGAAGGAAAGTGTCTCAAACTCATGAAGGCTGTAAGTGACCAACTGAAAACCAACATCATAATGGATGGAGAGAAAATAAAAGCATTTATTCTAAAATCAGGAGCAGGACAAGGATTTAAACTCTTACCACTTCTATATATTTCTTGTAGTTTTAGCCAGAGAAGTTAGGCAAAAGGAGAAAATTAAAGGGATAACAAAGGAAAAAGAAGTAAAATATTTTCATTTGCAGTTGATATGATTCTATACATATAAGACCCCTAAATCTCTACCAGAAAACTTTCAGAAATGGTAAACAAATTCAGCAAAATAGCAGGACACAAGATCAACATACAAACATTCATAGATTTTTCATGTTGAGCGCTGTGTTGCAAACTATAATCCCAGCAATTGGAGAGGCTGACAAGAGGATTGCAAGTTTAAGACCAGTCTCTGCAACTTAATGAGGCCCTAAGCAGCTCTGTGAGACCCTGTCTCAAACAAACAAACAAACAAACAAACAAACAAACAAACAAAAGGGGTAGGGATGTAGCTCAGTGGTAAAACAGTCTGGTTTACATTTCTAGAACCAAACAAACAACACCAAAAAAACAAAACAAAAGAAAACAAAACAAAAAAACCCCACAAAAAAACAAACCAACAAAAAGAAAAACCAAAAACTGAGACCAAAAGCAAAACTTAATAGATTTGCTGTATACCAATAGTGAACCCAATACAAAATAAAAAAAACACAGAAAAATGATTCCATTCATAATATCCTCTAAAAACCAAAAACCAAAACCAAAACCTGGTAATAAGGGTAACCAAGGTGGTAAAAGACCACTAAGATAAAACTATAGATCACTGAAGAATGAAATTGAGAAAGATCTTAGAAGATGGAACGACATCCCTTGTTCTTCAATTAGCAGATTTAATATTGTTAAAGTGGTCATACTCCCAAAAGCAATCTACAGATTCATTGCAATCCCCATTAAATATCAATGACATTATTCACAGAAGTAGAAAAAATCAGTCCTAAAATGAATATGGAAGAATAAAAGATCCAGAATAGTTAAAGCGATACTGAGCAAGAAGAACATGCTGGAAACATCACACAATTTTCAATCTCAAATATATTACAGTTTTATAGTAACAAAAATAGCATGGTACTGGCATAAAAACAGAAGACAAAGAAATAGAAGACAGAAATAAGCCCAAATAAATATTTTCATCTAATACTTGACAAAGGTGCCCAAAACATATGTTGGAGAAAAAATAGCATTTATAACAAATGGTGCTGGAAAACTGGATGTCCATGTGTAGAATAAAACTAGACCCCTATCTCTCACCCTGTACAAAAGTCAACTGAAAATATATCAAAGACCTAGGAACTTTGCAACTGGTAGAATTAAAAATAGGCTCACCTCTCTAACATGTTGCTATAGGTACCTTATTAAGACTCCTAAGACTCAAGTAATAAAATCAAGAATCAACATGTGGGATGGCATCAAATTAAAATGTTTCTGCACAGCAAAGGAAACAAGAGCATGAAAAGGGAGCCTATGAAGTGGGAGAAAGTCTTCTGTCAGCTACTCCTTTAACAGGGGATTAATACCTAGAATAAATGAAGAACCTAAAAAGTTAACACCCCCCCAAACAATTAACCCAATCAATCAATAAATAGATGTTTCTTAAAAGAATAAATACAAATGACCAACAAATAATGTCTCTAGCAATCAAGGGAATAAACATCAAAACTACATTGTGATGTCATCTAGCCCCTGTTAGGATGGCAATCATCAAGAATACAAATAATAAATGCTGGTGAAGATGTGGGGTAAAAGTACATCGTTGGTGGTATTGCAAATCAGTACAATCATTTTTGAAATCAGTATGGAGATTCATCAAAAGACTAGGAATCACAATATGACATAACTCTCTCTCCTTGTTTTTTTTTTTTTTTGTACCAGAGATTGAACCCAGATGTGCTTAACCACTGAGCCACATTTCCAACCCTTTTTAATATTTTATTTAGAGACTGGGTCTTGCTGAGTTATTTAGGGCTTCACTAAATTGCTGAGGCTGGCTTTGAACTCCCGATCCTCCTGCCTCAGGCTCCAAAACCCCTGGGATACAAGTCATTCCTTAGTTTTCATCCAAGGATATAGGCATATCAATGTTTATAAAATCACAATTCACAATAGCCAAGTTATGAAAATAGCATGGGCACCTGTCAATAGATGAATGATAAAGAAAATTGGCAAATATACAAAATGGAATTTTACTCAGCTATAAGAAATGAAATTATTGCATTTTCAGGTAAATGAATGGACCTGGAGAATATCATGCTAAGTGAAATACACCAAACTGAAAAATCCAGAAGTTGGATATTCTATCTCTTACGCAGAAGCTGGGACAAAATAAGGAAATAAAAAGGGGGGTATCCTATGAAAGTAGAAATCAGTGGAATAGAGTAAAAAGATTGACAAGGAGGGAGGAAAAGATAGCGAAAGGGAGGAATTATGGAATGAAATCGACCAAATTTTGTTATGTATGTACATAAATATACCACAGTGAATTTCACCTTTATGTATGTCTATACAGCACCAGTTTAAAAAAACTATAAATAATCATAAGAATGATTGGTAGAGTAGAGAAGGGGGAGCAGAAGAAGAGAGAGCAGAAGAAAAGTGGAGTATTAGGGGTTGAAATGGAGAAAACTTTATTTCATGCATGTATGACTATGTAAAAATGAACCCTACTATTCTACTATTATGTAGAACTATAATGTACTAATAAAACATTAAAAAGTAAATAAATAAGTGTTGGTGAGGATGTGAGGAGTAAGAAACACTCATACATTCTTGGTGGGACCACAAATTAGTACAATCACAGGACTAGGGTCCCTGCTATTCCACTTGTTGGTATTTATAAAAGAGCTGAATTCAGCATATTACAGTGATATAGGTATATCTATGTTTATAACAGTAGAATTCATAGTAACCAAGTTATGGAACCAGCCTAGGTGTCTGTCAAGGAATGAATAGATAAAAAAATGTGATTGCACACACACACACACACACACACACAGTTCCATTTAGACATAAAGAAAAATGGAAAAATGGATAATGGATGGAACTGGAGAAAATCATGCTAAATGAAATAAGCCAGACTCAGGAAGTTAAGGGTTGAATGTTTTCTCTCATATGCAGAAACTAGAGGGAAATAAGAAATAAAAAAATCTGGGGGAGATCTCATGAAAATACAATAACAGTGGAGTCGAAGGGGATTGAGGGGGAGGAAGAGGGGAAGGAAAAGGAAGAAACTCTGGAATGAAATTAACCAAATTATGCTATTTGTGTGCTTGAATATGTCACAATGAATTCTATGTTTAAATATAACTGTGATGCAATAGCTAAAAAACAATAAATAAATAGAAGAAAGATCAGTTGAATAGAGGAAGGGGATCAAGGGGAGGCTGGGAAAGGAGAAGCATTAGATATTTAAATGGAGCAAATTATGTTAAATGTATTTATGAATATGTCAAAATGAATGCTACTATTATGAATAATTATAATTCACTAATAAAAACTCTAGAAAGCTTTCCAAATTACTTCTCACATACTTGTTGTCTGAACATAGGTGTTAGTTTGTTGTGTGAAAATTGGAACAAAGCCACAAAATCTCTGCAGCTCATATATACATGTCTCTATCCCATGGCCTGTGTGTGCAGACAGAGAACACAATATTTATCTCCTTTCAGAAGAAATACAACAGCTTCAATAAACAGAAAAATGGAAGAGATGACATCATCTTGGTTTACAAGGCTACCTAGATTCTTGTAATAAAAGAAAATGGTTCTTTAACATGTCCAAATCCATCTTTTCCATGACAATAATGCAGGACAACTGGAGAGAGAGCTATCCACATACCTGTCTGAGAATACCTGGCACCACCTCCCTCTTCTGGGAAAAAAGTTTTCTCCTTCATTCCAGAGGAAGAAGGAATTTCAGAAACACGTAACTCTTCAACATCATCATAACTATTACTGGTGGCATCTGCATGCTGCCCTGCAGGTTCTGAAAACAGAGAGTAAGTGGAAGAGCAAGATACTTGTTAGTTGCAGGAAGCCATCCATGAAATACATGAGGACCTTCTCTCACCTTGGAAGCCAAGGAGGGATAGGCCTGGCATTGGGAACTTTCTGTGGCTTTCCCAGGGCAATAGATCACCCAATGCATATGACCTTTCCCTCCACTGTGCTAGAAAGGTTCCTCATAGTAGTACCAGAGATGGGCATATCCTATTAGGAACTGGTCAGCCCACCTTTATCCTAGTTTGGTAAAGAATATGCTATGGAAGGCCTTTGATGTTTCCTGATATAAATAAAGCAGGTGTGGGCTCCATTTTGTCCAGAAGCTCAATTCGTTTGATTAGCTTGCTTGTCCTATCCCCGCTTTTGAAACTACTTTCTGTGTTCTGTGATTTTCAGCCATTTTATTTCTCTTAGCTTTTATTTCTCATTTCACCGAGGGGAACCCCATTCCTATCACTAGGGGGTTAGTCAAGGTGATGTCTTCAGTCTCTTCTAATGCAGAGATTCTAATAGCTGATAAATATAGGCACCATATTCCAAGGTTGTCCCAAAGGCATAATTGATCTCTGTATTCTTAGAAACCACGTAAATCATCTAAATATTTCAGTATACTAAGGTCAATAATATTTTACTAACATTATTCCACAAAACATCGATAAAAGTTATGCTGAGTTTGAGGCACTCTTTTCAGGCATGTGGTAGAGGGTTGAAAAAATATGTACGTATCAGTGAGTCAGGGAGATTTCATCAGGATTAAGGAGAATGCATGTTGTTCATATGGCCTCTGAGGCAATGGAGACACAGTGCTGTCCAGAAGAGAAGCCTGGCTTTCTGTCTCCCACACATAGGCTATCCTACTAATTCCAATTCCAGGAGGCATGGGTTTCAACCTCCTCTGCTGCTCTGCTGTCCTTAAGATCCATCTTGACAGAGCACTCCTGGACATGCTTCATCTCAGGAACTCTCCATTTTCACCACTTGGGGAAGATCCAGGATGTCTTCCTTTCTTAGGTCTACAAAGGTGTAGACAAGAGCTAAGTGATTGATAAGTACAGATATCACACACTCCATGTGTTTCAGGGATTATGAAGATCATTATTTTTCTTAGTATCACTTAAACCACAAAATGGTGCATACATCCCTCTATTTCAGGATCAAAACCTCAAATCCATGCTTCTCAATGTCCTCTTTCATCAAGAAATTTTTGAGATGATCAGGTTCAAATGTTCTTTTTAAAATTATGACCTTGGGTTTTTACAATGATATGTTTGAAGTATACCTATGACCATAAGGAAGTAGCTATGGAAACTAACAGATTAGAATGTAATCTTTCCTTTTCTAGATGACAGAGAGGGTGGAGAGGAAAAAAAATAGTTGTGAACCAGACAGAAGAGACCCTTCCCATCCTAATCATAGAAAGTTTTTCTCAGATGATAACCTCCTCCTCACCCCCACTATCCAAGGGAAGACTTGTCTCTACTACCTGGGGCAGATTCAGGGTCTCCATTCTCCTCACTGTTCCCTGGGTTATAGGGTAGCTCAGTTGCTGAGCCATTAGACATGGTTCCTAGTAGAGAGAAAACATCATAGAAAAACACAGTAGGAGGTCCAGAAGAAATTTTGGTTTATGGTTCAGAAGAAATTTTGAAGCTTCATACTTGTAGAGAGAGGGCTTGGAGCTCTTGCCATTGGAGGATGCTGAGAATTGTTACAGTGGTCCAGAAATATTCCTAAAAGTTCATGTTTTAAATGATTGGTCCACAGGTTGGTGGTAATGGAAAAGGTAAAACCTTTAAGGAGCTGGGACTAGTGGGAGGTATTAAGTTGTTGGGAACATGGTCTTGAAAAGGATTATAGGATGCTAATCTCTTCCTCCTTTTATTGGTTTGCTGGTCACTATGAGGTGAGCATCTTTGCCCCACTACTTGCTCCCAGCATGATATGCTGCCAGGTTACCATGGAGTAAAACATCTGAAAATGTGAGTCAAAATAAATAAATATTTCCTCCTTATAATTTGATTATCTTAGGCATTTTATTTCAGTAATAAAAAGCTATCTAATATGCCACGTGTGGCAGGGTTAGTCATGTTGTCTTTGCTTACTGAAGATTCCCACACTGATGGCAAACTCATGCAAAGAAAAGGAGGCTATGGAACACACCTGGGCTGTTTAGCAGGCTCTCATTTTCTGGATTTATTGAGTGATCTATCTCCTGGTACAGGACTTCATCAACAGCAGCTTCAAAAGTGGATAAGGCTGTGGAAAGCAGAATGAGTTCAAATATTGCTCCTAGAAGTCTTTCCTTTACCAACAGACAAAATCTTCTCCAATGCACACTCTTGGAGATACCCTCTGAGCTAGGGACTTCATGGTCCTGAAGATTCAAGTGATGATCAGGATAATTGGGTTCTCTTGAGCTTATGGTCCCTTTCTTTATCTTTGTGATCATTGGGATAGAACTAGATTTCCTGGCCACCACTGGATCTTATACCCAGTCTCCACTAGCACTCTTCATATGGGAAACCATCATATTTGGGGCATTGGGGCTTCATTTTTTAACCTAGGATGAATTCATGTGTTCTAAATCTCCAAGTCCATGTAGAGAAGTTTTTCATATAATCAGAACAAGGTAAAACATATACTTAAAAAACAAAACAAAACAAAAACCCACAATTGACCCTATATTATCCCTGCATACTTTCTGGTCACAGCATTCCTATGCCCCACCTTGGTGCTTTGCTCTCCATCTGAGCAGCTGAGTTCCCAGGATGATTAGGACCAGAAACAGAAGGGCTCCCAGGATCATGCAGAGGATCCCAGGTAAGGAGAAGATGCCAGGGACAGGGGCTGAGGCTGAACTGGTGCCTGAAGAAGAAAAGGGCCATGAGTCTTTAGAGAGGACCATAAGCTCAGGAGAACCCAATTATCCTGGTCATCACTTGAATCTTCAGGACCATGAAATCTCTAGCTCAGTCATCATAGATCTGCCTGAATCCCAGGATATTGCCACCCTAGATCCTGATCTGGGCTGTGTCAACTATCTTCTGAGTCTAGTTTGAAGGGTTTTCCATAAAGTGAATGTGTGTGAGGCTTTGGAGCTCTCTGCTACAACTTAATAAAAATGATGGCTTCTTTTAACACCTGATCATCAGGCCTGTGTAGACTCTATAGGGCAGAACACTGAAAATCTACTTAACTCCTTATTACCTGATTCAGAGTAAAAGAACCACTTATTTCTAGGAGTGGGGTGAATTCGTGTCCTTTTACCTGGGAAGAAGAGAAGGAAAATGGAATCATTGCATTGTGCTGGTCTGGGAATGTCATTCCTGCCCACCCATCACCACTGGCACATGGTTCTCTTCCAGATGCCAAGAGTTCAGGGCAGCAGGGCAAACTGGGAAGCCCTTTGGATGCAAACACACTTCAACCCTGTCCTCCCGTCCTGGTCCTGCTACTCACCAGAGCACCTCACACCAGCGTCCTCCTCATGCTTGCAGTCACTCTGTCCCCAGGGTGCTGCAGCACAGGCCCACAGGGAGGGCTCCCTGCCCCTGCACTGCACCTCATCCAGCCAGATGCTTCCATTTCCAGGGCCAAATGCAGCTTCTCCTGGGGCTTCCAGGGCAGAGCCACATCCCAGCTGCTGACACACCACCTCAGCCTCTGCCAGGCTCCAGGAGTCATCACACACAGTGCCCCAGGCTCCTTCATGCCAAACCTCCACTCGCCCTGAGCACTCGCTGTCTCCTCCCCTGAGTTGGAGCTTCTCTTTGTCTGAAAAGGCAGCAGCACCTCCTCTTACTCCCTGGTGGGAGGAAAGGAGCCCCTGGAAGCCATGGGGAAGGTGTGAGGGGATGAGGTACCTGTGCAGGGTGCCGTGGCTGGACAGCTCTTGGGTCTGTTTCCTGCAGGAGCAGACAGTGGGGAAGCACTGGTAAGTAGCAGTTGGTGGGATCCTGCCCCAAGACAAGGCTCTCTAAGGTCCTGTGCTCAGTTCAGATGACAGGTGGAGACAACAGGCTTCACAAGCAGTCTCAGGTCCTGGGTTACTGAGACATCCCCTGGAGCATATCCCTTTCAGCAGCTGAAATTTTATCAGTTTACTTGTTTTTTTCTGTGCTCATAATGTGAAAAAACACAAACATGATCATGCACATGCTCATATATGTATACTCAAACACACAGAGAGACACACATAACTCAGAAAGAAAACTTCACTAGAAAGGGACCTTACCTAATTCCCTCTGTTCCTGTGAACAGGACAGTGCCTGGCATGTTGAATGCCTTTCTTAGAAGTATGTATGGGTGACTTTCTACGAATGTTATAAACAGTGGCTTATAAATATTTACTGATTAAATGAATAGAGGAGTAAAATCTGCTGAAATTTTTTTTTTTGAATTCATGCTAACCAGAAAGGTAATAAAGAGTAAGTTAATATCAATGTCTTGTGGTAACAAATATTAGACATTTAAAATATAAGTACTGAGTAATCCCCAAAGTAATTTGTACTCAATATCCCTCATTGTTTATAAAAATTACAAACATTAAAAGTATTTATTTAAATTAATTAACATTATTATTTTAAATAAATTAAAAGTATTTTTTTTACATAAACAAAGCAAGTAGAATTTAGAGAAAAGTTAACAAGTAGATAATAGTCGGTAAGATAGAAACGTTTGCATAAACAGGTAGTACACTGAGGAAAATTAACTCATGAAAGGACATAGAGGTAACATCTAGCAAGCAAAACAAAACAAAAGAATACATAAAAAAGCAAAATGACACTAAAAAAACATACATGGCACTTTTCCTAAAAAACCATCACGGGTATACATTATTCCCATTACTCTTATCAACCTCCTACCCTATGCAGGGAACATCTCTAGAAACCTCTCTTGGGTGGCTACTCACTTTCAGGATTGGATGTTTCACTATTTCTCAAAATGTGAAGTCTATTGTAAGGGGAAAAATACATCAATACCTAATCTTATAATTTATTATCACTTCAGCCTCTACAGGGAAAAGGAAAAAAAATAAAGTGAGGAAAGAGAAGAAAAGGTAAAAAGTAAGCATTTGCTTTTGGAACATTTACCATCATATGCCATTGCATTCTCCTTGGATTTCAGGCATTTCCTAGCATAGGTTTGTGGGCTTTGTTTGTTTTTTGATTTTTAAGCTTCTGTATGTTCTTTGACTTTAGATTAATGGTCAAGTTATAAAAAAAATCCCAGTGTTTTTTATCAAGATATGAAATACCAATTGACAACAATTGTTCCTACAAAGTTATATGACAATATCTGTTCAAAAAATAGATATTCTGTGATCTTACAACCATTGGCAGTCGTCTTGTAGTAATAAACCTACTAGTATATAGTGTTACATGTGCAAGGACATTTGTTACAATATTGTTTGTAGAAGGGAAAAATAGAAAAGAATTATAAATTAATAGCAAAATGATTATGCAAATTGTAATGCTAATCTCTTAAGAATGTAACATCATGGTGTTGTTTTACAAATGAGTGAGCTCTACTTGAGGAATATCCACAATATATTGTTAAGAAAGCCAATGTAACAATAGTAAGTATGATATAATTCCAATATTATAAAACCAAATAAAAAGACACCATAGGATAAATGCTTTTATCACTATATGGCTTAAGATAGGATTTCACGAAAATAGAGGGTTGGGAAAAATTTTGATTTTTAAGTCCATTAATCTTATTTAAATAAGGGGAATATGGAATATAAATAGATAAGAGTTTGTGCAATGTCACTAATGTACTCTCTATATTTTTATATGTCTTTATATTTATTTATATGTCTTTATATTTATTTATATGTTTATATTTAAAGACTCTTTATATTTATTTATATGTCTTCCTTGATTTGGATGAGTAAGGTTTTGGTAATTCAGTGTAATAGAAAAAATATTGTTTAACTCTACAGCAAAAACAAACTAGAGGGAAGAACATAAATCCCTTAGTGTTAAGCATGTGGCTGATTCTGTGAAGAGAGCAAAAAAGAGCACAGCATAAGAGAAGATGGGGTGGTCATCCCTTCATGCCTCTAGTGCTCGTTGTCCAGACAGACAGCATTACTCATTCCCTGGGGGGCCTCACATGGAGAGGTTGTTTAGTGTTACGCAGCACTAAAAAATGACAAAATCATGGAATTGCAGGGAAATGGATGGCATTAGAGCAGATTATGCTAAGCGAAGCTAGCCAATCCTTAAAAAACAAATGCCAAATGTCTTCTTTGATATAAAGAGAGCAACTAAGAACAGAACAGGGAGGAAGAGCATGAGGAAAAGATTAACATTAAACAAAGATGAGTGGGGAGAGAGAAAGGGAGAGAGAAGGGAAAGCATATGGAAATGGTAGGAGACCCTCAATGTTACACAAAATTATATATAAGAGGTTGTGAGGGGAAAGGGGGCGGGAAACAAGGGAGAGAATTGAACAACAGCAGATGAGGTAGAGAGGGAAGATGGGAGGGGAGGGGAGGGGGGATAGTAGGGGATAGGAAAGGTAGCAGAATACAACAGTCACTAATATGCCATTATGTAAAAATGTGAGTGTGTAACCGATGTGATTCTGCAATTTGTATTTGGGGTAAAAATGGGAGTTCATAACCCAATTGAGTCAAATGTATGAAAGATGATGTATCATGAGCTTTGTGATGTTTTGAACAAGCAATAAAAAAAAAGAATGAATCCAAACCCAATCAGTAGTAATCTGCACCCATGAGTCATATCCCCAACCCCTTGAGTGGCTCACAGTCCCCTCCCCTTTCTATGGGGGAAGTCCTTCAAAGCCTGAGAACAAGCTGACTACATATTCCCTGGCAATTTTTGCTAATTAGGCTAATTAGAGACATGAGACATGGTTTCCAGTTGTTTCTGCATCTGGGAGCCACAAAGAAATGGGCCAGTGTCACTTCTAAATGCAGCTCACTGACACACACAGCAATACATTAATCAACTTGCTAGTCAAATGAGCTTATTTCCAGCATTAAATAGACAATATGTTGTAGAAGACAAAGACCACTAAAGACTTTTGGAAGAGTCTAAGCAACAAGTGATCTTTCATGAATTAAGATGAGAGTGGGAAGAAAGGAGTAGAAGGATTTAGGACATGGTTTCTGGTAGAGACATAGACCTTGCTACTACATTGAAACTGGAGGGAGAGTGAAATGGAGACATGAATGTAGACTGAGAATAAGTAATTGAGCACAGCAATGGCATTAACAGAGATGGGGAATAGAACAAGGAGAAAAAGTTAGTGGCAGGGATTGAAGGATTAGAAAAAAACACTCTATTTTGAAAACTAAATTTGAGCTGTCTATCATATATTCAAGTGAGGGTACATTAGCAATGAAATATAGGAGTTTGGACCTAAGGGCAGAGATCAGCTATGGAGGTTTATATTGGGAGCTGTCAGTGAAATGATATAATTTAAGGCCATGAATCCCAATGAGATAAGGAAAGGAAGACGGAGCTAAGGAAGAGTACAGAGTCTAAAATTTAGATATCTAACAAAGAAGTTCTAGTACTGTAAGACAGAATAATAATCAGTAAGTCAGAGTGACCATAAGGAAAAAACAAAAAAGCAGATAGACAGCTGAAAGTTTCTATTTTCCAGTGAAGTTTGAGGCAAGACCATCATTTATGTGTATGATGTGGTTAAATAACAGTGAGGGGCAGATCAGTGAATTTGTAAAATGTCATGTTAGAGAAAGAACAAGAGGACACATGAGAGAGGCACACTACAATATGGGGCCAGTGTGGAGGGCCCATCAGAGATTGGATCACAAATTCAAAGAGACAGGATAATTTTACATTATAACAGGAGACAGTACGTGTCCATGATTCATCAGTCCTTGCTTAGTCTAGTGCAGGCAGCGAAGAGTTAGGTAGTTAACTCAATATCTTGTCATTGACTGACAGAAGAGAAGGGGGAGTTGAGTGTACCTGAAGGGGGAGGATTATAATGGGGCATCTTGTTGTCTTCAGGGTAAGAAGAACATGTGCAATCATGAGCGGAGTGGAAAACTGATAGGGGAATCTGCATGAGGATAAAATATGTGGAAGGGGCTGGGGATGTGGCTCAAGTGGTAGCACGCTCGCCTAGCTTGCCGAGGCACTGGGTTTGATTCTCGGCACCACATAAAAATAAAGATATTGTGTCCACCTAAAACTGAAAAATAAATATTTAAAAAATATTTGGAAAAGGAGAATGAAGAATATGTGCCATAAGGAGAAGAGGCAATAGTTAGAGAGGGAACAATGCAAACAAGATCTCAAGCTGGACTGTTGGTGATGGTCAATAGTGTGGCCATCCAGGGAGATGGGGTGGGAGGGAGCAGAGTGATTTGACAGGAGAGAGTCAGGAATGGAGAGGCCAGGATGTTATCTCAGTGTGTTCAAGGATGTTGGAAGCACCAGGAACAGGAGACAGAGGAGCCTGGTGAGCCTGGTACTGCAGCCTTCCTGGATGACGGGGAGTGACCAGGTTGGAGATTGACACCAACAGAATTGGTGGCCGGTGTCACCTCATGGGTCAAATTTCACATTGCTGGACATGGAGAAAAAGGAAATAAATTGTTGAAAATGACAAATAAAAGGAGGGATATTTTTATTTTAAGATTTGGCCCAGAAATATCCTTTTGAAAGAGACGCACAGAGCCTCCAAATGATAAGGACATCATTGTTTTCAGAGGACAGCCAGATTTTTGTGAGAACATGAAACCGAAGGGGACATTACAGGTCTTAAGAAATTGGAAGATGATAGTCTCCAATTTCCAACAGGCCCCATGGAATGTTTTCTGGGAGAGGGATGAAGTGGGCATATTAGTTTGCAGTAGCATATGGATAAAGGCTCAGAGGAGGTAGTATCAACCAAGACCTCTGGGACTGTGAGGAGATCAGTTCAAGAGAAACATAAGGGGAGAATAGGTGCCTCATTTCCCAGAAATTCCCCATAATGTGGCAGAGGAGAAGACTAATAAACAGCTTTTCAATAGGATTGCTACTGGGGCCATGCCTTGAGCTTTTTTTTTACCCATCCAGGTAATCAGGCATCACTTTCACCACCCTCTTTCTACTCTGCTCCTGATGGGATTTTATCAGTACCTCAAGGTCACCACGCTTCTCACACCTCAGTATTTACAATGACCAAATGTTATAATTACTTCCTTCCTTGGACATCTACTCCTCCTTTAGGTCTCAACCTAAATAGGATTTATCTTTTTCTCAAATTACCCATTTCCAAAGCACCTTCTACTTTTTCCTGTCACTCACGTTATGGCTGGTATGTGTTATCATGTTGGAGGGTAAACTCCATGAGGACAGGGAAAGTATTTTATTCTTGTCTCTCCTCCTGCCTAGAATTAAGTTTCTACTTATAAGGCACTCCATTACTTACCATCAACAATCTTGCCTAAGAGGTTGTCTGACTGATGTAGAGTAAAAGACCATGAGCTCAAAGACAACCCACGAGTACTGGATTCCCCAAATTGTTCCTCACTCTCCTGAGGGCATTGGGTGCATGAAGTGCTTACTCCTAGCCTCAGTTTGCACATCTGGATTAAATGATCTTCATAATATCTATGAACAGTGTACCGAGAGTTTTAACCTTCATTACATGTGAGAAAAAACCTTAACATAGTGATATGATATAGCAAGTGATTTACATAATTGAGGTCAAATTTTTCACTCTACTAAGGAAATACAGAGTAATTACTAAGGAAATACAGAGTAATAAGCCTTAGGCTGCACTAGCCATTTGCTTACATGGTTTTTCAGAGGATAAATGTGGGAGATCAACCTTGCACTTGACTGAGTCACACTCCCCGGCTGGGTGCTGAGGCGCTCAGTCATAGAAATGTGGCAGAGCTTTCCCCACCCTTCTTGGGTTTGAGGGTCAGTATCTGGTGCATGGGTGTGTCTTGCTACAGCCCCATGGGTGAAGCTATGCTCACATGTTCCTTTGTAATATAACCCCTTGCCCTGTTTAGGATAGAATCTTCCATGGAAGTGCCTTGTGTGTGTATCCCCTTCTCTTACTGTGTCCTTGGGTGTGGCCTACCCAGGTGTCAGTCAACCTGCTGACAGTGGACATCTTCAAGATAGACTCAGCCTCCTGAAACCTGACCTCTTGCCTCATTTGAATAGCTTCTCCTCAATAACAGGGGTCAGCCGCGTGCTCTCGCTCTCTCTCTTCCTGCGGACCCTTAAGGTCAGAGGAGCCATCACAGCGACCCCAAATAAAAAGGTATTTGTGTCTCTTGTGTGATTATTTAGCCCAGTTTTCCTGGAGTGACCCCTGAACCTTTTAGTTGTGAACAGAAACCCGGCAGATAAGTCCATGCTTCTACATGCTCAGTTTAATATCCATGACATTTCCCACATAAATGGCTGTCAGAACAGGTTTACTTATTTCTGTCATTCATTGAAACAAGATTGTAAATTGAGGCTTAAATAATCTCTATTCAAATGTTCGTCTAGTAAAACTTATTTAAACTCATTCCTTTGGTTTGAAAGTATGAAATTTCTCTAACAACCTGTAGAGTGAGGACACAGGAATAGGGAGTAAGTCACCTGAACACATGATATAAGCTTCCTCCTTTGCAGAGCAAGATCTTTGTTTCCAGGGGTCAGAAGGACACTGCCAGAGAGAGGTGTCCGTTTTCCTACACTGGATTTCATCTACCCAACGGGGTCTAGAACCTTCTCTGAGAGGAACAGAAGAGTTGAGAATCCCACTGTTCCCACAGCCAAGCTGTCTGCAGATCACGGACAAGGTCACAGCTTCCATGGGGCTGTGGCAGACACTGCCCCATGTGTTGTTGTAGAAAACCTCCAGCCACCCAGCACACTCCTGGTCCTCGCTCACCAACCGGAGGGCCAGGAACTCTGAAACCAAGAGGAGGAAAATAGGACACAGTGAGCATTCAACTCTTAGTGCTGTTTTTTCTTTATCCCTAGTTACTGAGTGCTCATTGCCAACTTTGCAGATGAAATGCCCAGTAGGTGGAAAGACAAAACTTTTATCCCTTTTACCTGTTTTAATAACCTGTATGTCTCTTTCTATTTCTATGACAATGGTGTAGTGGAAAATGAACAGGCAAGAACACTGAAGTGGGGCTCTTGAAGGGAGGGAGGCAAAGCTACTTGACTAAATACATGACAGATCCTGGGAAAGGGGGTATGGACAGTGAGGTGACAGAGTAGTGAAGTCCAAGGTATGTCAGTTCCTGATCCTGGAGCTTGTGAATAGGTCACCTTGTGAGGCAAAGGGGCTTTTTAGATAAGATCAAGATAAGGATGTTTTAATAGTGAGATTATTTTAGATTATCATGAATTAACCATGTGAGCACAATCAAATCACATCCTTAGACCTGTGTTTTCAAAAGCAGACAGCAGTTTCTGGCTCTAGTCAGAGAAAGATGTGAAGAAGAAAAAATGCTCAGAGGTGTGCCAGGTGGTTGACTTAAAGAAGAAAGTGGAAAACAGGCAACTTTAAGACATTGGAAAAGGCAAGAAAATGAGTCTTCCCAGAGCCTCAGATGAAGGCAGTCCACTGACACCTTGTCAGCTCAGGTGGACTGGGGTCAGACTTGAATTGTGTTGTTTTAAGTCATTAACTCTGTGGTAATTTATTACGGCAGCAACAGGAAACTAATACAGTGGGGTCTTGGGATGTTGCACACACAGTAACTGAAGCATGAGGTCTGCAGTCAAATGGACACTGAAGAGAATGATTGTCAGGAGGCAGGGATGAGAAGGAAGGAGCAGAAGCTCAGCTGATGCATCAGGAAATGGAAGCACCTCATCTTTTTCTGCTAGAGACACAGGCACTGTGGAATGAGCCTCTTCTCCCTCCTCCCTGCTACCAATTTCCCCTCCTCTGCCCTAAAGCTCAGGTACCATCCTGCACACCCTTCTCACTTCTCCCACCTGTGCACAGTGTGAACCACAGACCTGAGCAGATGACCCCCGCATCCTCCTTGTGCCTGCAGTTGTGCTGCCCCCAGCCCTGGGAAGGGCACTGCCACACATAGGCCTCCTCTCCTGTGCAGTTCAGCTCATCCAGCCAGATGGGCCCTGATCCCTCTTCAAAGTGAGCAGAGATGGTGGCCTCCAGGGCCACTCCACAGCCCAGCTGTCTGCACACCACGTGGGCATCACTCAGGTCCCAGCTGTCATCACAGATGGAGCCCCAGGAGCCCTGCTGCAGGATCTCCACTCTCCCTGCACAGTGACTGCCCCCGTCCACCAGGCGGAGTTGTCTGCTGTCTGAGGAGAGACAGGGTCATGTCAGTGGGTATTTGCACAGGGAATGGGAAGGTTCTGGTGTTGGGGGCCTTGCTCACCTGAGCAGTTGGCAGTGTGGCCCTCTGAGGCTGTGGAGCTTGCTGGGTCAGACCAGGAGTCATTGCACTGGGGCAGCAGCTGGGTCTGGTTACCTATAGAAGCAGGTAGAGAGCAGGAAACTGAATTAAAGTACATAATAATCTAGGGATGGCATTTGAAAGTGTAGGACATGATCAGTAATTTCCTATCTTCAGAGCTGATCTCAATGGAGATTTCTGCTTCTGACTCAGGCAGACTCTTAGGCTTTTTATAAAATAGTAGGAATGACTTTAGGAAAATGGGAGTGTGCCAGTTCTTCTTGAGAGCATTCTACACCTTCTAGCAAAACTTTTGGAGTCAAGTTCAGAGAAAAGTAAAAACTGGGATCAGCTAGTGAATACAATTAATAATTTAGACTTAATGAACATATATAGACTATTTCATCCATCAAGGACCGAATATACTTTCTTCTCAGCAGCACATGGAATCCTTCTCTAAAATAGAACATATCTATCTTAGGCCACAAAGTAATTCTTAGCAAATACAAAAAAAGTAGAGATAACACCTTGCATTTTATCATCAGATGATAATGGAATACAATTAGAAATCAATGAAAAAAATAGAAGCTACTTTAACACTTGGAGACTATGTAGTACACTATTAAATGACCAAAAGATATCAGAAGAAATCAGGGATGAAACAAAAAAATACATAGGAGTAAATGAAAATAGTGACACAACATATCAAAATCTTTGGGATACTATGAAGGCAATATTAAGAGGAGAGTTCATTGCATTAAGCTCATTCACTAAAGGAATAGAAAGTCAACAAATAAATAGCCTAATAAATCTCAAATCCCTAGAAAAAGAACAAATCAACACCAAACACAGGAAGAGACAAGAAATAATTAAAATAAGAGCTGAAATCAATGAAATTGAAACAAAAGAAACAATTCAAAAAATCAACAAAAAGTTGGTTCTTTGAAAAAAAAATAAAAAAATCAATAAATCCTTAGCCATGCTAAAACAAAGAGAAAATTCAAATTACTAATATTTGTTATGAAAAAAAGAAATATCACAGTGGACACTACTGAAATACAGACAATAATCAGAAACTATTTTGAAAATTTATATGCCAGTAAAATAGAAAATCTTGAAGATATCAACAAATTTCTAGAGACACATGACCTACCCAAATTGAGTTAGGAGGACATATACAATTTAAACAGATCAATTTCAAGAAATAGAAGAAGCATCAGGCATGTGGAACATGCCTGTAATCCCAGTGGCTCAGGAGGCTGAGGATGGAGGATCATGAGTTCAAAGCCAGACTCAGCAAAAGTGAAGTACTAAGCAACTCAGAGAGACTCTGTCTCAAAATAAAATACAAAATAGGGCTGGGATGTAGCTAGGTGGTCAAGTGCCTATGAGTTAAATTCCCAGTAATCCCCTTCCCCACAAAAATGAAATAGAAGATGCCATCAAAAGTCTACCAACTAAGAAAAGTCCAGGACCAGACAAGTTCTACAAGACCTTCAAAGAAGAATACCAATATTCCTTATATTAGTCCATGAAATAGAAAAGGAGGGAACCCTTCCAACTCATTCTATGAAGCTACTATTACCATGATACCAAAACCAAGACACATCAAGGAAAGAAAACTTCAGAGCAATATCCCTGATGAACATAGATGCAAAAATTCTCAATAAAATTCTGGCAAATCACATACAAAATCATATTAAAAAGATAGTGCACTATGATCAAGTGGGGTTTATCCCAGATATATAAGGCTGGTTCAACATATGGAAATCAATAAACACAATTAATCACATCAGTAGACTTAAAGAATAGACCTAGAAGGGGAATAGCTGGGTCAAATGGTGGCTCCATTCCCAGCTTTCCAAGAAATCTCCATACTGCTTTCCAAATTGGCTGTACCAATTTGCAGTCCCACCAGCAATGTACAAGTGTACCCTTTCCCCCACATCCTCGCCAGCACTTGTTGTTGTTTGACTTCATAATGGCTGCCAATCATATGATCATTTCAATAGATGCAGAAAAAGCATTTGAAAAAATGCAGCACTGCTGTTCAAGACATCAGAAAAACTAGGGATAGTAGAAACATGCCTCAACATCATAAAAGCTATATGTGCCAATCCCAAAGCCAACATCAATCTAAATGGAGAAAAACGGAAAACATTCCTTCTAAGAACTGGAACAAGACAGGGATGTCCTCTCTCACTACTCCTATTCAACATAGTTCTTGAAACTCTAGCCAGAGCAATTAGACAGGAGAAAGAAATTAAAGGGGTACAAAGAGGAAAAGAAGAACTTAAACTATCCCTATTTGTTGATGACATGATCCCATATTTAGAAGACCCAAAAAAGTCTACCAGAAAACTTCTAGAACTAATAAATGAATTCAGCAAAGTAGCGGGATATAAAATTAACAACCATAAACCAAACATGTTCCTATAAATCAGTGATGAATCCATTGAAAGAAATTAGGAAAACTCCCCCATTCACAATAGACTAAAAAAGTTAGAATATTTGGAAATCAATCTAACAAACCTCTACAATGAAAACTACAGAACACTAATGAAATAAATTAAAAAAGTCCTTAGAAGATGGAAATATCTCCCATGTTCTTGGACAGTAGAATTAACATTGTTAAAATGGCCATATTCTCAATAGTGCTATACAGATTTAATGCAATTACCATTAAAATTCCAATGACATTTTTCATAGAAATGGGAAAATCAGTCATAAAGTTCATTTGGAAAACAAGAGTCCCAGAATAGCCATAGCAATCCTTAGCAAGAAGACTGAAGCAGGAGGCATCACAATACCAGATGTTAAGTTATACTACAGAGCTATAGTGACAAAAACAGCATGGTATTTGCACCAAAAACAGACATGAAGACCAATGGTGGAGAACAGAAGACACAGATACAAACTTATATAAATACAATTATTTTATACTATACAAAAGTGCTAAAAACATACATTGGAGAAAAGATATGACTCTTCAACAAATGGTCTGGGAAAACTTGCCATGCATATGTAGCAAAATATAATTGAACTCAAACTTCTCACCTTGCACAAAAATCAACTCAAAGTGGATTAAAAACTTAGGCATTAGACCAGATCTTGGCACCTAATAGAATAAAAAGTAGGCCCAAATTTATATCATGTCAGCTTAGGAACTGACTTCTTTATTTTTATTTTTATTTTTTTTTATTGTTGGTTGTTCAAAACATTACAGAGTTCACACTTTGATTCAAGTGGGTTATGAACTCCCATTTTTACCCCATATACAGATTGCAGAATCACATCAGTTACACATCCATTGATTTACATATTGCCATACTAGTGTCTGTTGTGTTCTGCTGCCTTTCCTATCCTCTACTATCCCCCCTCCCCTCCCCTCCCCTCCCCTCTTCTCTCTCTACCCCCTCTACTGTCATTCATTTCTCCCCCTTGTATTATTTTCCCCTTTCCCCTCACTTCCTCTTGTATGTACTTTTGTATAACCCTGAGGGTCTCCTTCCATTTCCATGCAATTTCCCTTCTCTCTCCCTTTCCCTCCCACCTCTCATCCCTGTTTAATGTTAATCTTCTTCTCATGCTCTTCGTCCCTACTCTGTTCTTAGTTACTCTCCTTATATCAAAGAAGACATTTGGCATTTGTTTTTTAGGGATTGGCTAGCTTCACTTAGCATAATCTGCTCTAATGCCATCCATTTCCCTGCAAATTCTATGATTTTGTCATTTTTTAATGCAGAGTAATACTCCATTGTGTATAAATGCCACATTTTTTTTATCCATTCGTCTATTGAAGGGCATCTAGGTTGGTTCCACAGTCTTGCTATTGTGAACTGTGCTGCTATGAACATCGATGTAGCAGTGTCCCTGTAACATGCTCTTTTTAGGTCTTTAGGGAATAGACTGAGAAGGGGAATAGCTGGGTCAAATGGTGGCTCCATTCCCAGCTTTCCAAGAAATCTCCATACTGCTTTCCAAATTGGCTGTACCAATTTTCAGTCCCACCAGCAATGTACAAGTTTACCCTTTTCCCCACATCCTCGCCAGCACTTGTTGTTGTTTGACTTCATAATGGCTGCCAATCTTACTGGAGTGAGATGGTATCTTAGGGTGGTTTTGATTTGCATTTCTCTGACTGCTAGAGATGGTGAGCATTTTTTCATGTACTTGTTGATTGACTGTATGTCCTCCTCTGAGAAGTGTCTGTTCAGGTCCTTGGCCCATTTGTTGATTGGGTTGTTTGTTCTCTTATTGTCTAATTTTTTGAGTTCTTTGTATACTCTGGATATTAGGGCTCTATCTGAAGTGTGAGGAGTAAAGATTTGTTCCCAGGATGTAGGCTCCCTATTTACCTCTCTTATTGTTTCTTTTGCTGAGAAAAAACTTTTTAGTTTGAGTAAGTCCCATTTGTTGATTCTAGGAACTGACTTCTTTAAGAAGACTCATAAAGCACAAGAAATGAAATCAAGAATCAACAAATGGGATGAATTCAAACTAAAAATCTTCACAGCAAAGGAAACAATCAAGAATGTGATTAGAGAGCCTACAAAATGGGAGAAAATTTTGCCACCTGCACCTCAGATAGAGAATTATTCTCCAGGATATATAAAGAACTCAAAAAACTCAACACCAAAAAACCAAATAACCCAATTAATAAATGGGCAAAGGCACTGAACAGACACTTCACAGAAGAAGAAATACAATTGGTCAACAAATATATGAAAAAATATTCAACATCTCTAGTAGTTAGAGAAATGAAAATTAAAACTACACTGAAATTTCCTCTCACTTCAGTAGGAATGGTTGTGGGAAGCCATCACACTATGTGACCAGCATTTTCCTTTTCTGATTGGTGAGGCTCTGTCAGTCACTTCCCATGATCTGGCCACATCAAAGTAGAGGGTGGCCCCCATCTTGAAAGTTGTAAAAATGTAGCAAAATGTGTCTTCATGCATAGGCATGCCTTCCTGCAGCCCCATGAGTCCTTCGTGATATTACACCTTTGCCCTGTTTGGGATAGAATGTTCCATGGAAATGCCCTTTGTGTGTCCCCTTCTCTTGCTCTGCCTTTGGGTGTGGCCTTCCTAGATGTCAGTCAACCTGCTGACAGCAGACATCATGAAGCTAGACTCAGACCCTTGAAACCTGACCCCTTGCCTCATTTGAATGGCTCCTCCTCCATGAAAAGGGGGTCAGCATGCGCTCTCTCTCTCTCTCTCTCTCTCTCTCTCTCTCTCGACCCTTGAGGTCAGAGGAGCCATCATAGGACCCTCAAAGAAAAATGTATTTCTGTCTCTTGTGTGATTATTTCATGCAGCCCCGTTCCCATGGAGTGACCCTGAGTGTTTTTGTTGCCAGGAATGCGACAAATGGAAATTATCAAGAATACAATAACAATAAATATTGGCAAGGATGTGGAGAAAAAGGTCTACTCATACATTGTAGGTAGGACTGCAAATTGGTGCAACCATTATACAAAGTGGTATGAAGATTCTTTAGAAACCTTAGAATGAAACCACCATTTGATTCAGTTATCCCACTCCTTGGCATATACACAAGGGACTTAAAATCAGCATTCTGAAATCACATGGCACATCAGTGTTCATAGCAGCTCAATTCACAATAGCTAAGCTATGGAACCAACCTAGGTGCCTTTCAGCAGATGAATGGATAGAGAAGATGTGATATCTCTATATATCTATATATATCTATATCTATCTATCTATCTATCTGTATATATATACACATTGAAATATTACTCAGCCATAAAGAAAATGAAATTATGACATTTGCCAGTAAATGGATTGAACTGGAGAATATCATGCAAAATGAGATAAGCCAATCCCCCAAACCCAAAGCTGGAAGGTTTTCTCTGATATGTGGATGCTAATTCACAATAAGGGCCAGGGGGCTAAGGAAGAATAGATGTACTTTGGATTATACAGAGGGGAATGAATGGATGGGAGGGGATGTAGGGGTAGGAAAGATAGTAGAATAAATCAGACATTATTACCCTATGTGCATATATGATTACATGACTGGTGTAACTCTGCATCATGTACAACCAGAAGAATGAGAATTGATACTCCATATATGCATAATATATCAAAATACATTCTATTATCATGTACAGCTAGTAAGAATAATATATACATTTTATATATATATATATATATATATATATATATATATATATATATAAAATAGAAAATGTTTGAAGCAAATATGGTAGCCAAAGTTTAAGATTTGAGAAAATTTTGCAGAGGGTATTTGGATGTTCTTTATCTTACTGTTTTTCTGTAATGTTTAATCTATATAGGTAATAATAAACCTATAGCCTTTGTCAATAAAAAAAATCCTCTGAAAAACGCCCTTGACATGGCCTGAAACATGAATGATCATTGAGAAGAACAATATTTCACCAAGGAATGTCTCACTTTTATAGTCTGCTCTCCATGCTGTCTGCTCTTAGAGACAAGTCACTCAAAAACATTCTGTCAGCCCTGACCTCTCTTACCTGAGCAGACCACAGAGGCTGTGTTTCCATGGGCACAGGCAGGAACACCCAGGGCAGTCACAGGACAATTCCACAAGAAGGACTCAGACCCTGAGCAGTGAAATCGGTCTCTCCAGATCTCATCTCCTCCTTCCACAAAGTACTCTCCCTTTGGGGTGGAGATGGCGACTCCACAGCCCAGCTGACGGCAAACAACATTGGCATTGGCCATATTCCAGTGGGAGGCACAGAGTGTTATCCAGCCTCCAGAGGTCTTCATCTCCACTTGGCCCTCACACTGAGAGCTGCCATTTTTCATGAGCCTGACTTCTGTGTACTCTGGCAGGAGAAGACAGGATTTCAGTAACATCTCACGTTTGTTACCACATCAGAGTGTGCAAAAAGGTTAAAGTCCTGATGTGGGTCTCACCTGAGCAGACAACTTGCACAGCCCCTCTGTGTTGGCAGCTGCCTGCAGGACAGGGCACTCTGGGGCAGAACCAGAGCTCAGGCTCCCACCCCTTACACTGGAACTCTTCAGCCCAGACCTGTTCACTGGCCTCTCTGAGGGGCAGGTCCAAGAGAAAAGATGCTGCCTTGCCACACCCCAGCTCTGCACAGATGACCTGGGCAGTGGGCAATGTGAAATTCCCATAAGGTACTGGAATCCATCCTCCTCCAGAATTCACTTCCACTTGTCCAGAGCAAGGTCCACCTCCTCCATCCAACCGCACAAATCCTGTGGAAGAAAATAACCAGTACAATGAGTATCTTGGGGAGGCATCTGGCTACAGATATGGAATTGCAATGTGATAGTAAGTTAATGCCCTGAAGAAGGGAATTCTGTCTTTGTAAAATAACATGCTCAGTAATTTTTTTTTCAAAGTAAGTCATCAAAATGGAATTTACTCAGTATGGGTAAAGATGCCTCTGATCAGGAAAGAATAAAAATGCGGCACAGAAGTCCTCAAAGGAGACACAATCTATACTTTCTGCCCAGGTCTGATATAGAAGAGAGGTTAAAAAGACAATATTGAGGGCATGCTTCTATGTTTTCTTATTTACAATACTAACATCTTTTCAGAATTTGCCATGTTCCAGAAATGTTTCTAGGTGCTGCATTTGTATATTTGAAGAGCTTTACATCTAGTGGGGAGAAGACCAGTTTTAAGTCATTTGAAGTTTGTGAGTCACTGAGTGGAAAAAGAAAGAAAAATTGCATCTGTAGAAATCTATTGATTCATAGGAATCATTCTCACTCGAGTAAATTAAAAATTGCAGTCATATATATCCTTGTCTGATCTTTTGCTCTATAGATATATTGCTTCCTTGGGCACGTTTCAAGCTTCTTATGAAAGTATCATCCAATGGACATTTTCTTCCTCTATTCTGACCTTCTCAATACCTGAGCTTTAAGTCACTCCTGCAAATCATTTTTCTCCTTTTGTGCCAGAGGGATATACAAAAGTCACACAAATGGACACAGATTGCTCATCCCACACCAGGGTCTTAAGTGATGCTGAGGTAATTCTTAGGTGCTCTTTGTCAACCCACCAAGGCCATCCCTCAGATATTGTAAGCTTTTTCTATCTTCACAAAATTTTTTTCTCCATGTCCCATTCTTTTCAAACTTACCTGCCAATATACTCTTCTTGTATCATTGTTTCCATCAGATATAAATAATTTCCTCATATCATATCACCTTTATATTTTCCTTAGTTTTCAAATTTATTTTAAGTGATACCTAATGACATAGTGTACATATTAATGGAGTAAATTCATATTCTGATACATATATATGTTGCATTTATTTTCTCCTGAAAAACTTTTCATTTCTTTTTGGTGAAAGATTCCAATATGCTTTCTTCTAGCTTTTGAAATGTGGTTCATGATTGTTTTCTATAGTCATCCTCCTGTGCCACAGTGCACCAGAACTTATTATTCCTATTTAAGTAAAACCCATTATTCATTGATCAGTCTGTTGCCTTCCATTCCCATTCCCTATACTCTCTAGTCTATGGTAACCACAATTCTACTCTCAACATCTATGAGGTCAACTCTTACATATTTGACATACAGTGAGACTATAAGATACTTGTCTTTCTTTGCCTGACTTATTTTGCTTTACCTAGTGATCTCCTGACCCATGCATGTTATCTCAGGATTTATTTCATTTTTATGGCTAAATAGTATCCCATCATATTTCACTTATTTATCCATTTATCAGCTGATGGGCATTTAGATTATTTCAATTTCTTAGCTACTATGAATAGTGCTGCCATAAACATGGGAGTCCAGATGTCTCTTCAACAGTGATTTCACTTCCTTTGGACATATGCTCAGCATTGGGATTGCTGTATCATATGGTAATTTGGTGGGGGGCAGGATGTCTGATAATGTCTTTGTACCTCCTTTATTTCTAAAGGATAGATTTTTCTGGATTCAGTATTCTTGATTGGTAGGTTTTTCTTCATTTCTCTGAAAATCTCATGGCACTCACTTCTGACCTATATGTTTACCATTGAGAAGTCTGCCATCAGGTGAACTGGGACATCCTTATATGTTATTTGTTTGTTTAATTTTTTCTCTTGATGTCTGAGAGTCTTTATCTTTTACCTTTGACAGCTGTATTATAATAGATAGAGATAAGAACCTGAGGCTCCCAATCACAACTGCCCAACTAATTTTTCACCTTCAAGCAGAGACAACTAACTATCTTCTTATTGTGCTATCAGGGGTTGAGGAGGAATGAGGTGGGAAGTCCTGTGGCCAATAATGGTGCAATGGTATATCACACCTTGAAGCCACAGCCTGCTGAGGCAACACAGAAGTGGGGAGGGACCAAGGCCCTCAGTGCTATGAGCTGCCTACTGCTAAGGTGGACTTAAGGCTCCAGACTCCTGCAACCAGCCACAGGTGCTGCAGGCTCTTCTTGAGTCTGTCTCACCAGCACACAGGTCTTGCTCAGTTACTTCTAGTCTATGTCTGAGGCCTCTAATACCTACTCAGTGCCGGGTATTATCATGGTAGGCCTGGCACTGAACTCCAAGACAAAGTGCTGTGCCAGCACTGTGCCCTGATCCTTAGAAAGTCTTGCTTTCCCCTCTTCTGCTAGAGATTGGAGGACTGGTGGTAGAGACAGTCTCTTTGCTGCCCAACAAAATACAGTGCCAGAGTCTCAATGTGAGGTTATTGGCATGGGGACAGGGTTGTTGGGCTCTGTTGGGCACCAGGTTTTACTGTGGAAGACCTAGTTCTGGGTTTCAAGTCTAAGGTCTGGGCTTAATTCCCTTTTCATTCTTCAAGAATGCATCTTTCTTTATGCTAGGTTGCTTGAGGTTGGGGAAAGGGCAATTCTGATCTTTCTTCCTCATTCATGTGTCTTTTCTTTTTACCATAGTAAAAGCAGGCTCTCACCTAGTCTATTGTCTCTTATGAAGCCAGTTTGGTGTGTAAATAACAGTTAATGTGGTGTATTTGTGGGAGATCACGGAACAACCATCCTGGTCTGAGTCCTAAACTACCAAAACATTTTACCATAATAAATATGCATTAATATTTTATTGCATTCAACATTAATTTGCCAACACAGGGTTAAATTTATCTCCTAAGTATATAGATGTTGCTTTGGAAAAGAAATGTAGAGAGAATCTATTGTAGTAATAATGGAAGAAAAATCTGTGACTCAGCATTTCACTCACAGTTCTCTGGACTTTCCTGCCAATGAGCTGAGAATTGTGATGTCTGAATCTGGAAAGAATTTCCAAGTTTGCAGTAATCCATAAATTCCCCTGTAATGTATTTAATCCCATCCCTGTGCCCATACTCCTACTAACCCAGTGCAAAAAATCTCAATTCAACTGAAAAAAGCAAGACTCATTCTTGTCTATCCTTTGAAAAGGGGATATTCGTGGTAATTTATGGAGATGATTTTAAGTGGAATGATTCTACAAAACCCAAACCTATCTTTTCAAGTATGGCTGTGGAGAAGGGAAAGGACAATATTTGAGGTTTACAAGAAATAATTAAATGAAGCCCATTAGCCATTGCTACTTCAAGCACCCAGTGTCCTTGGGGACCTCTTAGTCCAATGTCTCTTATTTCCCCAGGATCAGATATACACTTTTGGTCATTTTCATTCTCTTAGGCAGTGGAGAATATGCAGAGTGGGAGGCCGAACTAGCACATGACTGTGTCTGACTCCCCTGCTGCCCGGTGTGGCAACTGGAAGTCATGCTGTGATCTGGATAGCCCCGGTCTTCTAGGGTGCGAGCGACTGTGTCTTCATGCATGGGCATGCTTTCCTACATTCCCGTGGGTGGAGCTATGATCACCCGTTCCTTTGTAATATTACCTCTTGCCCTGTTTGGGATAAGAATGTTCCATGGAACTGCCCTTTATGTGTCCCCTTCTCTTACTGTGCCCTTGGGTGTGGCCTTCCTAGATATCAGTCAAACTGCTGACAGTGGACATAATGAAGCTAGATTCAGCCCCTTGTAACTTGACCCCTTGCCTCACTTGAATGGCTTCTCCTCAATAAAAAGGGTCAGCATATGTGGGCTCTCTCTCTCTGTCTCTCTCTCTCTGAACCCTTAAGGTCAGAGGAGCTTTCACAGCACCCCCAAAGAAAAAGGTATTCCTGTCTCTTGTGTGGTTATTTCGCACAGCCCAATTAGCCCAGTGATCCCTGAGTGTTTTAGCCATGAGCAACCAGGCAAATGGCGTCCTTGGGTGGGCAAAAAGGTCTGAGTGTTTAAGTCACCGGGAAAGTGGCAATGCAGACCATACCTGAGCAGATGACACCTGCGTCCCTCACATGCAAGCAGTAGTGTTGCCTCCCAGTAGGGCACTTCCACACTTGGTCCTCCTCTCCTGTGCACTTCAGCTCATCCAGCCAGATGGGCCCTGATCCCTCCCCAAATTTTGCATAGTCCATGGCATCAAGGGCCACTCCACAGCCCATTTGTCTGCACACCACGTGGGCATCATTCAGGTCCCAACCCTGATCACAGATAGTGCCCCAGGAATTCTTCTGAAAGATCTCCACTCTGCCTGCACAGCGACTGCCCCCATCCACCAGTCGGACTTGTGGAGTCCCTGAGGAGAAAGAATCATGTCAATGCTTGTATTTACAAAGGAAACGAGAAGAGTATTCTTATTTTGTGGTACTCCCTCCCTCAACCAATCCGTTGATAGAATTTGCTTTAAGATTGCAGAACTTGCTGTGTAAGATATGGAGATGTTTATACCAGGGCAGCAGTTAAGTTTCAATTCCTACCAAAATAAGTAGGAGAATTAATTGTGTAAAGAACAAGAAATGAGATTAAATACAATATAATCTAGTTAGATGTCTCAGGTAGCAGTTATTAGGTAGTTGATATCATAGATAAACTTATGATTTGTGGAATTCTTCATGGGATCTGATAACGCAATTCTAGAAATGTCAGGTTTCCTACCTTGAGTAGTTAAAAGTGTCTTTTTCTGAATGACTTCTAAAAGTCAATGGGCCAGCATCTGATTGGTTCTTATAGAGCACACACACACTTGAGTGCCAATGGCCTGAGATGTGGGAGAACCAGAGCACAGGGGATAGAGTACGGAACTGGGATGAGATCATCAGAAACCTCAGGTGACAGCCATGAATCCTGAAAGATGAGTGGACCATTGTTTGTCTCCAAATATTTCACCAATAATTCTAGGCTTCAGAGTTCAGATTGGACATGTAATGTCAAAACTTGACTCACTTTAGGTAGATTGAGCAAGTTTTCAAAAAAGATGATTCCAGATATCGACCTTCAGCTCCAGTAGGAATCATAGAATGTTACTTTTTTACCCAAAATTATCCTTCAGGAGTTGTTAATATTCAAAAAGAGGCATTTTTGGTATGGAGATAAATAGCATAAAAGAGGTACCTTTGTTGTGACTCTTTGAGTGAAAAAGATTAAGGAAAAAGGGATAGTAGTATTTTGAGAAAAGAAAAAGAGGAACTATAAAAATCTATTGATCAAACTATGTTTGATAAATCTAAACAGCATGGAGAAGCAGAAAGGCAGCCCAGAGAAAAGTACAAAGCAATTTACAACTTTATCTCTAGCTGCCTGGGTGAGGGAAGCAACCTGCAAGCATAAGGTAAGCTGGATAGTCCAGACAACCCAGATGGTGTCAGCACCAGCAGTCTTACCTGCTGTAGGAGAAACACATGGTTCTTATAAGCATTAGATCAAATTTGGGGAATTATTCTGAGAGAGAGAGTACTCTTGTACAACAAGATAGGAAGAGTGCCTGTCACAAACACCCTGACAGCATTGCATTGCAGGGGAGGGATGGAGGTCTTATTAGTAAGTTGTCTCACCCTCTGTGGAGAAGAATAATTCCAGTCGCATGTCATCTGACAATTCATGGCATTCCCATGTCGCCTCTCCAGGGATTACACTATTTTCCACAGGCTTTCCAGGGATTCACCATGGCTAGGACACTTCTCATACCCCAGTGGGCACCTTCTAGAGGCCCCTGAAGCATGTGTGTGCCTACTTATTGGGTCTGCAAACTGAAGGAAGGGCTGACTTGACCTTTGACATGCCTCCAGGTTTCCAGACAAAACACCTACAGGGATGTTATGGCCTGTCTTGTCAACACTCCCAACCTCCTTGACAGGAAATGAGGAGCACAGTATAGCCAATCTATTGCCCCCAAATGCAGCATATTTGGTGGGAAAAGAAAGGAACTGCAATTGGTTTCTTTTGCAGTCAACTGACCCCCATATACCTGGTATATTTAAATGTTAGATGACCTGGAAAGGTGTCTCCAATGCAAATACTTTGGCTGGGAGAAATTTTTGACATATATTTTTCTTCATGCTTTATTATATTTTCTTTACTATTATTTAATTAATCTGTTTTTTAATTCTTCAAATGGATTTTTCTTTTTGTTTCTCATTTTCCCCTCTCTCTCTCTCGTACTGGTGATTGAACCCAGATCACTTTACCTCTGAGCTACACCCCTTGACCTTTCTAATTTTATTTATTTTTGCTTAGGCTGGTACTGAACTTATACTCTTCCTGTCTCAGGCTTCAGAGTCCCTAAGATTACAGGCAAGTGCCACTTGCCTGGTTAATGTCCCCCTGCCCCTTTTTTAATGTGACAAATATTTTTCTTCCTCTTTTTAAATTCCCCATCTTCTTTCCCTCTTATTTTCCATCTTTAATCTTTTTTTGAATTAATTTTCCTTTTACTAATTTTTTACTTTCTTGTTCATTCTATATTTGTTCTTCCCTTTATCTATTGTTAGTGCTGTTTTAGTTTTGTTGAGTGTAATTGATTATTATTGTATTTCTATAGCTGGTTTGTTTGTTTATTTATTTATTTTGGTACTAGGGATTGAACCTAGGGGAACATAACAATTGAACCACATCCCCAGCCCTTTTTTTGTATTTTGAGACAGCCCTTTTTTTGTATTAGCAAGGCTTAGGGCCTTGCTAAGTTGCTGAGGATGGCTTTGAACTCGTAATCCTCCTGCTGCAGCCTCTTGAGCTGCTGGGATTAAGTGGCCATTTTGGATGGTCCATCAGAGGTTGGATCACAAATTTAAAGAGACTAGCAGGATAATTTAACATTATAACACGACACAGTACTTGTCCATAATTTTATTTTTGTGTTGGTTACTTCCATTGTTTGCTTCTGAGTTATGCTGGTGTTCAAATGAAGGACCTTGAACATGTTTGATGTGTGCTTTGCCATCGAGTTATAACTCCAGCCAATGTAGAGACATTGAATCTTACTAAAGCCGTGACCTAGTCCTGCTGAAGGGTTGGTGGATATTTCAACTTAATGAATAGGGAAGAGAGAAATCCACAGCTGATGAGCCACCAGCAAGTAGGCATAACTCCTGCTCCTGGACAGTCTCCAGCTTAACAACACTAGAGAAAAATAATTCAAATGTTGTGGAAAAAGTGCCTTGAATGACCTCAGCACAGGTTACTGCCATATCACTTCAGACCAAAATAAAAATAATATTGGGAAAATAACCACAGAGAGAATGTCCTACACACTGTGCTGTCTATAACAACACACCTAACTACCAGAAGGACCACATTTGTATGAGCACTACAGAGAAAGATGTGCTCTGACACAATACCTGGGGTTTCAAAACCCATTATTATCAACCAAAGAAGCTACAGAGAAACAACCTACAATGTCCACTTCAAATTAATTTCAACACTATAGGACACCTACACACTAAGGCACTTCATTAAGAGAAGGCTGCTTACTAAGAAGAACCTCATATGACAGATTTATAAACAGAAACACTAAAGTCAAGGAGGGAATGGAGTGATGTACTTAAGACCTTGAAAGAAAACAACTGTGAACTACATGACTGTGTACAGTAAAGTTATCCCTCAAAATCAAAGAAAAATAAGTCATCTGAAGAATATATTAAAGGAATTTTGACCCACTGAACCTGCACTGTAGAATGTTCTGTATCAATCCTACACACATAAGATTGTAGGAAGCACGACAACCTAGCTACTGAGAGCATGGGAAGGAATAAATCTCATTAGAAGAGCAGATAAACAATTGAGAAGGAAGAAAGAATCAAACATTATCAATTCAGTAAATCATTAAAGCTCCAAAATGAATAGGGGAGAAGGACATGACCATAGATTATTCAAACTGTCCAGAAACAAAAACAGCAACAAAATGACAGGAACTACTACAAACCCTCATAATAACTCTGAGTGTAAGTGGTCTGATTCTCCAATTAAAACATGCAGACTGGCTAACTGCATTAAAAATCAAGAGCTAACAACTTGCTGTCTGCAAGAAACTCACCAGAGAGGCAAAGACATATATAGACTGAGAAGAAAAGGATTGAAAATGATATTGCAAACAAATGGAACTTAACAGCAAACAGAAGTAGCTATATTCATATATGAAAAATACAATTTCAGAATTAGAAGAGACAAAGAAGGTCACTATGTATTAGTAAATGGAATAAACCATCAAGAAGATATAATAATTACAAATAAATATGTACCAGGTGGGACCCAACATGGTGGCAGGTGGGGAGGCAGTGCTTTCAGTACCTCCTCAAACACGGGGAGAGAGTGTCACATTAATATGTTCAGATTCTACCTGCTGAGAAACTTCTAGCAAAATTCCACTGAAGTGAGACCTGCTGGGGAATTTGTGGGATTATTGGAGGTGACAGTTTGCCCCAGATGAGTGAATCTCTGCCATGCGGCGTGGAGGTCCAGACCCACCACCCGCCGCCGCTGTGCGGTGACCAGCACAATAGGAGGCAGTTCACCAGGGCGCGGCATAGGGACCCTATGAAGAGGTTGCTAACCAAGCCTTCATGAAACAGTGAACCAGAACTGAAACCAACCGAGACTGGGTCAGACCAGAGACAGGCCAGACCCACACCTCCCTTCAGACACTCCGGCAAGGAGGCTGGGGCCCGCCATAGCAGAGAGATGACATCACCAGAGTTCGGCTGACGGGATCTATTCCCAGCAGAATCGGCTTTAGCAGGGGTGTGACTCCCACCCCCACCAGATACATACAACATTTCTAGGCATTGTCTCCAACCACAAAGGAGAGACCACAGAGATATACAAAACCAAAACAAATTTATAGGAGAAAACAGAAGCACAGCAGTTAAACAGAGTTGGAAAGTAATGTGAACACCATGAAAAAACAAGGGAAAAAAGGATTACAAACAATGCAGGAAAACTTAAATTTACAGGAGAACCTAGAGGCATCAGAAAAATGGACAGAGAAAGAACTCAAGGCATACCTGACTCAGATGGAATGGAATCTTAGAGAAGTCATTAGACAGCAAGTGCAAACAATGAAAGAATACTTTGAAAACGAATTACATAAGCAAATTCAAATAGCAAAAAATGAACTCTACCAGGAGATAGAGATTAAAAAAAATCAAACAGTAATCCCAGAAATGCAGGAAACCATAAACCAAATGAAAAAACTCAAACTAGAATATTATAAATAGACTAGATCAAATAGAAGTCAGAACATCAGATAATGAAGACAAGGTTTATCAACTTGAATATAGTCAACACAGAAAGGATGGTAAGAAA